GGGGCGGCGCGCGGCCCGTCCTGACCCGCACCCCCCAGCTGCGCTGCGGCTGCAGCCCCTGCCGCGGGCTGCGCACGTCCACGGGCACCCGCCTGCTCTACACGCTGCTGCACGTCCTGTCCTCGGCCGCCTGCTGCCTCGCGCTCTCCCGCACCGTGGCCCAGGCCCTGCGCGACAAGGTGCGCCCGCGGCCCCGCTGCTGGGGACCTGTCCGCAGTGCTCCGGGGTCCCCGGGAGGCCTCCCGGGGCATTAGGGCCGTGGGGATGCCAGGGGCCCGGGGTGGGGGTCTTTGCGCACAAGGAGTCCAGGGTTGCAAATGGCCCCAGGGGTACTGGGGGGGGGTCCCAGGATATTGAGGTTTCCAGGTGCATCAAAGTACAGGGATACGTGCTGGAGCTCCCGTGGGTGCTGGGGTTCCTTASGGTCCTGGAGTTCCCGTAGGAAACAAGGCTCCCATCAGTGCTGGTGTTCCCCTATGTGCTGGAGCCTCCATGGGTAGCAGGGCTCCTATAGGTGCTGGGAGTCCCTTGGGTACCAGAGTTCCTGTGGGGGCCAGGGCTGTCGTGGTTGCTGGAGMTGCTGCAGGTGCTGTGGAGAGCGGGGTAGCCGGTGCCAGAGGAGGCACCGCGGCCCCTGCAGCCTGTCCCGCCCTGCCCGCAGGTGCCCTTCTCGGCGGCGCTGTGYGAGCAACTGGCCGTGGGCGCCGACTGCGAGCGCCTGGCGGGCTCCTCGGCCGTCTACCGGCTCTGCTTCGGCACTGCCTGCTTCCACCTGGCGCAGGCCGCCCTGCTGCTCAACGTGCGCTCCAGCACGGACTGCCGCGCGCAGCTGCACAACGGGTACCGCGGCGGCRGGCACGGGACGGGCACGGGGCTGCGGGGGCTGCAGCTGAACCCCCCGCTCTGCGCCGCAGGTTCTGGCTCCCCAAGGTGCTGGTGCTGGCGGGGCTCTGCGCCGCCAGCTTCTTCATCCCCGAGGACAACTTCATCCCAGGTGCGTCCCTGGCCGAGCACCGCCGGGCTGGCCCTGGCCCCCGACCCCCGCGCCCGCCCACGACCCCTGCTCCCCCACAGCCTGGCACTACGTGGGTGTCTGCGGGGGCTTCGCCTTCATCCTGGTGCAGCTGGTGCTCATCACCGCCTTCGCGCACACCTGGAACAAGAACTGGTGAGCACGGGGGGTGGTGCCACGCAGCGCCCGCGCGCCCGCCCGCCTCACCGCGCACTCCCGCAGGCTCACGGGCGCCGCGCAAGACAAGCGCTGGTACCTGGCGGTGCTGCTGGCCACCGCTGCCTTCTACACCCTCGCCTCGGCCGCCTTCTCCTTCCTCTACAAGTTCTACACCCACCCGGCYGCCTGTCGCCTCAACAGCGCCCTGCTCACCGTCAACGGCAGCCTCTGCGGCGTCATGTCCTTCGTCTCCATCACGCCCTGCGTGCGGCTCAGTAAGTGCCGCGTGGCGCGGTGGGCCGCGGTGCAGCGCAGCCTGGCGTGGTGCACCATGGCATCGTGTGGCATGGCACAGTGCCATGGTGCAGCACAGCATGGCATGGCACWGCATGGCATGRCACTGCATGGCATGGCACTGCATGGCATGGTGTTGCAAGATGCAGTAGAGCCTCAGTGGTGCCATGCATGGGGCTGCCAGCCTCCCGGTAGCGAGGCGCAGGTGCCCGAGGAGGACTCGGCGGGGGCTCCCCCGTCCTGTCCTCACCCCGTGCAGGGGGCTGCGGCCAAGGCCGGCGCTCTCCTTGCAGAGCAGCCACGGTCGGGGCTGCTGCAGGCCTCCATCATCAGCTGCTACGTGATGTACCTCACCTTCTCCGCACTGTCCAGCCGCCCTCCGGAGAGAGGTGGGAGCGGGGCCAGCGCCCGGGAGCCGCTCGCTCGTGCCGGCCCCGTCTCACCCTGCCTCCCGCAGTGCTCTACCAGGGCCAGAACCTCACCGTGTGCTTCCCGGGCGTGCGGCAGGACGAGCTGCAGAAGGAGGACACGACCGTGGCCGTCCTGGGGGCTGCCATCATGTACGCCTGCGTGCTCTTCGCATGGTGCGTGAGCCCCGCAGCGTCCCCAGGCTGCTCACGCGCTGCCGCCTGCCCTCCTMACCCATTCCTCCTCTCTCCCGGGTGCAGCAACGAAGCCTCCTACCTGGCCGAGGTGTTCGGGCCCTTCTGGATGGTCAAAGTCTACAGCTTCGAGTTCAAAGTGAGTCCTGGTGCCCCGCAGAGTCCTGTCCCCGAGCCTGGTCCCCGCTCGCTTCCCAGCCGGCCCCAGGCCCAGGCAGCGCGGGGGCAGCGCAGGGGCTTCCCGGCCCTGCCATGTCCCTGCGCCCTCCCTGCTCCCCACCGCCCCGCAGGAGCCCTCCTGCTGCTTCTGCTGCCCGGAGAAGATGGAGGAGACGCTGCGAGGTGGGTGCGCAGGCAGTGGGTGGCCACAGGGCGGTGGCGGGCGGCCGGGTGCCCTCAGCTCGCTCCCARCCCACTCTCCAGGGATGGAGCCGGCAGGCGAGCCGGTGCAGGAGCCCAGCGGGGCCCCCTGCATCGTCCAGGACGAGCAGGACCGCGTGGTCTACAGCTACTCGGCCTTCCACTTCGTCTTCTTCCTCGCCTCGCTCTACGTCATGATGACCCTCACCAACTGGTTCAGGTTGGGCCCTGCTCTGCCAGCTGGACTAGCTGTGCTCTGCCCCTGTGCTGGTGTGAACGCAGCCGCCATGGGCTGCTGCAGGGYGGGTGTTGCAGCGGGGCAGGGGGTGCTGCAACAGGACAGGGTGCTGCAGCGGGGTGGGCCGTGCTGCAGCGTGTGTGCTGCAGCAGCAGGGTGATGCTGCAATGGGACAGGATGCTGCAGTGGGGCAGGGGGTGCTGCAGCAGGACAGGGTGCTGCAGCGGGGTGGGCCGTGCTGCAGTGCGTGTGCTGCAGCAGCAGGGTGATGCTGCAATGGGACAGGATGCTGCAGTGGGGCAGGGGATGCTGCAGCAGGACAGGGTGCTGCAGCGGGGTGGGCCGTGCTGCAGCGCGGGTGCTGCAGCAGCAGGGCGGTGCTGCAATGGGACAGGATGCTGCAGTGGGGTGGATGCCGCATCTGGGTGGATGCTGCACCGGGAGCTCTGTGTCTGCAGCGGGGGGAAGCAGCCAGAGCCGCTCGGAGCCCCGGTGGCTGCAGCCGCCACCAGGAGGCCTGGTGCTGCCTCCTTGGACGCCCAACGCCTGCGCTCTCCCAGCAGCTACGAGGACGCAGTGCTGGAGACCACCTTCACGCACGGCAGCTGGTCGACCTTCTGGGTGAAGGTGGCCTCGTGCTGGGCCTGTGTCCTGCTCTACCTGTGGCTGCTGCTGAGTCCCCTGTGCCTGCCGTGCTGGCCACAGCGCCGGCGCAGCAGCCAGCCCCTGCGCGTGCTGCGGCGACGACGGGCCCCACAGCGCGTCGGCGCCGCCGCGTAGCCCCYGGCTCTGCCGCCCGCCTCAACACATCAGCCGTGGGACCGGCCGTGTGCAGGAGCTGCTGTGATGGAGCTGGGTGCTCTGCTGCATGGCTGCACGGCTGCATTGCTGCATTGTCGGGGATGCAGCTCTGGCACAGAGCGATGGTGCTCGGCTGCGGCCACACGCTCCCGACCCTCTGGGATACGGGTCCTGCGGGCACCGGCTGCAGCCCTGCTGTCCAGGGAGCGGTTCTGCTCCGCTCCAGCGCTGTGTCCGCTGGGCCTCACTGTAAATAGCTCCTCAAATAAATTTTTATACAAAACTCGAAGCTGATGTGTGCTGTGTGTGAAGCAGCAGCCCTAGGGCTGGATGCAGAGGAGAGCAGCACTGGCCCCAGCGAGAAGAGCCACCATGTCCCGGGGGGTGGGTGCAGCCGGGGGGGCTGCAGGGGTTCAGCCCACAGCCGCTGCCCCCATCGCTCCCCATGCAGCCCTGCAGGAGCCCCTTGCCCGCACACAGGACACACAAGGGGGCTGGGGGCTCCAGGGAGACCCCTGTGCAAACACGTCCAGAGCTGCTGGGGCATCGACCCCCCCGCGATCCCCCATCCCACCGCCTGGCAGCGCTGCCCCTGCCTGGGGGCTCCCACCTCGCACTCCCTGCTCGGGGCGCCGCAGGCCAGGCGCAYGGGCGGCCCCACCGGAATGCGGCACCCCGCCCGCAGAGCAAACACGGCCGGGGGCCCTGCGCGCCCGCACGGGTGGATCGGGCGGCCTGCCGSGGTCCTCCCCAGACACACACGAGGCCCCGGAGCAGGTGAGTGTGGGACCCGCGGAGCCCAATGGGGGGGCCCTGTGGGGGTGCGTGGGGCTGCCCCGTGCAGGGGTCCCAGAGGAGCTGGGGCTGACCTGGTCCATCAGCGTGGGGGCAGCGGTGGGGTCACCCTGGGGTCTCCCCTAGCCCTGGTGGGCCGATGGAGGCTGATCAGGAACCATGGGCACCAGTGCAGCGGCTGGTGCAGGGCTGGGGGGGCTGCAGTGCTGCCCCCCTCTGCTCCCCTCCCCCAGGACATGCAGGGACGTGCGCAGGGCTCCAGCGACAGCACCGCGCGGCTGCGGCAGCAGCTCGGGAATCTCGCTCAGGTGGAGCCTGGGGATGGAGCCGCATTGGGACCGGGCTGCGCGCAGAGGGTGCGGGCAGCGTCCCAGGGTGCCGGGCACACAGGTGAGAGCCACAACAGCGCCGTGTTGCCTGTGCAGGAGAATGAGCAGCTGCACAGCACCCTGCGCCAGGCGCAGGGCAGCGTCTGCCAGCTGCAGTCAGAGCTGCAGCAGCTGCACAGGGACCTCCTGGACCAGGGCAGGCTGCAGCAGAGGTGATGGGGGAGACAGGGGAAATTGGAAAACTCCCTTGAGTCACAAGCAGGGCGCTGGGAGAGCCTGGCCCTGGCTGCCACGTGTCCCTGCAGGTCCCTCGGGGGCATCCCCTGCCACCCTGGGCTCCTGCAGCAGGATGCTGCAGGTTGGGCAGCAGGGATGCCACGTCCCCGCAGAGAGCAGCTGGCACTGAGGGAGATGCCGGAGGAGGACCTGCCCTTCCCCACCTGTGTCAGGATGCTGCGGTAGGTAGCGGCTGCGGGGCAGTGCTGCAGGTGCCCCCCAGAGGCCCTGGGTGCAGCTCCTGTGGGTGCTGGATCCGATGCTGCTCTTGCTCGACAGCGCGAGCGCCCGGAGCCTTTACGAGAGCAAGAGCCAGCTGCGCTCGGCGCTGCCGCACGAACCGGGGCAGGTGGGAGCTCGGAGCAGCCCCACGCTCCTGCAGCCACCATGGAAGCACTGCGGTGCCTCTGTGCCCAGCGTCTCTCGTCCCCTGCAGCCACTGCTCCCCACTCAACAGTGCAGCCCCCCCACACGCAGCCCCCCTCGGGGCACCGGCAGCAGGTGAGTGACCACGGCCAGGGCAGGGCCACCACTAGCCACTATCCCCCCCCACCCCCCGACCACTGCCCTTGGCGCAGGCACCCAGGGGCCCCCCCACGCAGCCGGCAGAGCTCAGCCTCCAGCACGGACACAGACATGGACACGGACACAGACACAGCCTCATCCTGCAGTGATGCCACAAGTGGCAGCCTGGAGGAAGCACTGGCCACCAGCGCATGTGGGGACATGGAGCTGTCCCATGGGGACACAGAACCCCACGCCTGGCTCCCGGGCAGGACGAAGCTCCCGGCCTTCACGCCGCAGGTAGCTGCGGGGCCGGGCGGCAGAGGGAAGAGGCAGCGGGCACCGCAGCCACGCAGCCTCTCGGTGCCACCAGGCTGCAGAGGCTGCCGGGGAGCCCGCGGCGCCCGACCCCATCCTGCGGCTGGTGCTGGCCGGCGACAGCGGCGCGGGCAAGTCCAGCTTCCTGCTGCGCCTCTGCAGCAACGAGTTCAGCGGCGACGTGCCCAGCACGCTAGGTACCCGGGCCGGGCGCGCAGGTGCGCGCAGCAGGATGGCCCTGACACCCTCCTCACAGGCGTGGACTTCCGCGTGAAGCAGCTGCTAGTGGACGGGGAGCCAACGACGCTGCAGATCTGGGACACGGCCGGGCAGGAGAGGTGCGGGCGCCGCAGGGCTCAGGGCGCCGCGCGGGCCCCGGCAGTGGCTGCAGCTCCACGCAGGCCCCGCGCAGCCCCGTGCAGAGCCGCCCCATCGCCAGGTTCCGCAGCATCGCCCGCTCCTACTTCCGCAAGGCGCATGGTGTCCTGCTCCTCTACGATGTCAGCAACCAGAGCAGCTTCCTCAGCGTCCGCCAGTGGATTGAGGACATCAAGGCAGGGTCTGGGTCCGGGCAGCCCCGGCGGTGTGGGGAGCAGGGCAGGGGCGCGGGGTCTCCCAGGGCAGAGTTCCTTGGGTTAGGACCAAAGGCCACCTCTGCGAAGGGGTCACATTTGACCTGAGGTTTAACGCAGTGCCACTCGCCGGGCACCAGAGAGGGCTCGAGTCGCTGCCGCGGCGGCCTGAGCCACCTCCATGCCCGCAGGTTGCCGAGGGGCCTCTTCCACTCATGCTGGTGGGGAACAAGATCGACCTGCGTGCCGGGCTGCCGGCGGGAGTGTGCAGCGCCCTCGGGGAGAAGCTGGCCATGGTGAGCAGGCAGGGCTGGGGGCGTGCGTGGGGACGGCGCTAGCGCTGGCACGTCTGTTCCGCAGGCCCACTCGGCCCTGTTCTGCGAGACCAGCGCCAAGGACGGCACCAATGTGGTGGAGGCCGTGCTGCACCTGGCACGGTGAGCACCCCGCGCCTGCACGGCCCCCGGCCGGCRTGGCGCCCGCTCACGTGCTGCTTGGCCCACAGGGAGGTGAAGAGGAGGGCGGCGCGGGGCCACGCGGGCTCCGCGCTGCAGCTGGGCATCCCTGCGCGGGCAGCACGCGGCTGCTGCAGGACCTAGCGCGGGGCTGCCGGCGGCGCCAGCTGCAGACCGGGCTCTTTTCCCTTCCTTCGTAGTAAAGATGCCCTCTCGCTGGCGGAGGCTGCTGTGTGCGCGGAGCGATGCCCGGGGAAGCGCCGCTGCCTCTGCCCATGGGCTGCCCTCGCAGGACGGCCCCTCGCTGTCACCCTGCTCCACGCCCCGTCCCCACCGCAGCCGCGCGGGCTGCCACCCGCGCAGCTCCCCGCGCTCCCGGGCCCGGCCGGGCCCTCCTGCCGGGAGCGGCGGCTCAAGAGCCGCCCTCATGGCCACGGAGGGGCCCGGGCCGCCCGGCCCGGCTCGCGCCGCTCCCCCAGCCCCTTCCCGCTCCCGCCATTCACGCCCGCACCAGGCCGGGCCTGCAGGGCTCCACAGCTAC